CACACACACAGAAATAGAAAATAAATTATTTGAGCCCTAGCTATAATGACATCAAGTTCAAGGTTTTTTTTTTTTTTTTTTTTTGGGGGGGGGGGTCCGGTCGTGGGGCCTGAACTCTGGGCCTGGGCACTGTCCCTCAGCTCTTCAGCTCAAGGCTGGCACTCTACCACTTGAGCCACAGTGCCACTTCCTGCTTTTTTTCTTTTTGCTTATGTGGTGCTGAGGAATCAAACCCAGGGCCTCAGGCATGCAAGGCAAGCGCTCTACCACTGAGCCACCTTCCCAGCCCCAAGGTTTTGTTTCTTAATCATTTAACAAATACTTTGTGTGTGTGTGCCAGTCCTGGGGCTTGAACGCGGGGCCTGGGCACTGTCCCTGAGCTTCTTTTGCTCAAGGCTAGCACTCTACCACCTGTGTCACAGCACCACTTGCAGCTTTTTCTGTTTATGTGATACTGAGGAAACAAACCCAGGGCTTCATGGATGCCAGGCAAGCACTCTACCACTAAGCCACATTCTCAGCCCACAAATACTATTTTTTAAACAAATACATTGTGGTTGGTTAGTTGTTTTGTTGTTGTTATTGTTGCCTTTTTGGTACTAGGTCAGAGCCACTAATTCAATCAGCTTACTTCCTTAGCTGGCACTCAAGTACTTGAGCCATGCCTCAAGCCCTGCTTTTTGCTAGTTATTGTGAAGATGGAGTCGCAAATTTTTCTGCACCAGCTGGCTTTGTACCACAATACTCTAAATCTTAGCCTCCTGAATACTTAGGATTACAGGCATGAATTACTAGCACCCACCTTACAAAAACATTTCTATAAACTCTAATTTGTGAGTGTGTGTGTGTGTGTGTGTCAGTTGTTGGGCTTGAACTCGGCCTGGTTGCTGTCCCTCAGCTCTTTGGCTCAAGAAGAGCACTCTAGCGCTTAAGCCACAGCGCCACTTCCAGTTTTCTGGTGGTTAATTGGAGATAAGAATCTCATGGACTTTCCTGCCCTGGCTGAGTTTGAACCAGGATCCTACTGGGTCTCCTGAATAGCTAGGATTACAGGTGTAAGCCACCAGAGCCCAGCCTAGCCTTTTTATCCCCCCCTAAAGACTGAACCCATGGCTTTGTTCCCACTACTGTTTGAAACTCAGAAAACTCAGATTCTTCAGGATAACTCCAGCACAAACTATCCAGTGTTATCAGGAACTACTATACAAAAAATAGGGCCAAAGAAATCGGGTGGGGGGTGGGGGAGGAGGGAGGCAGGAATCTTAAGTAAATATGGTAAAATACTAACTTTCATGTATCAAGATGGGAGGTATAGGGCTTTATCTATTATGTATATCTCGAATATATTTACAAGGAAAGTAATCAATAAAATCAAATGATTATAGGGCTGGGTAGGTGGCTCAGTGGTAGAGTGCTTGCCTTACATGAGGCCCTGGGTTCAATTCCTCAACACCACATAAGCAGAAAAAGCCAGAAGTGGCACTGTGGCTCAAGTGGTAGAGTATTAGCCTTGAGCTGAAGAGCACCCAGGCCCAGAGTTCAGGCACCACGAGACACACACACACACACACACACACACACACACACAAATCAAATGATTATAAAGTTTCCAGAGACCAATTCTGACAAGAATGAATGAGGTAAGAAATTAAATTACTAAAGAGTATATAGTCAAATGAGAATTATATATAATTGACTATAATTCCAAATGCCTTTGAAATTTTATGGAAGGCCTAAGACAGAAGAAAACATGTATCATTTTCAGAAATTGGAAATTAATACTTGAGGGCTGGGATGTAGCTCAGTGGTAAAGCACTTGCCTAGCAAGTGCAATGTCCTGAATTCAATTCCAAGTAAAAAGACCAAAAAAAAAAAAAAATTTAAAAAAGAAATTCATCCTTGAAAAAAAGAAAAAGCCATGGAAGTCCAATCTTTGTCCATATGCATTCAATCAATTTGGTTGGATATTTGCTGGACTGAATTGATACATAAGGTAATATGCTGCTTCAGATGTCTCCAGCAAAGGGAAAAAAGTGGTTGCATAAGATTTCATGATTTTATTTTCTTTTCTCTCCATATGCCTATTTTTTTCTCCCACAAATAGTATTTCTAATTAATCTTTCCATACTCCATTACATTTCTATCTCATTTTATTCCTTGTTTCCTAAAATGACTTTGCTGCTTCAGGACAACAAAAATAAGTAAGTCAACTCATGTGGAAGCCAACTTTCAGAAGGCCCAATGGAGCTGAGCATGGTGATATATGTCTGTAATTGTAGAAGTCAAAAGGCAAAAGGCAAAAGTTTCAGAGGTAGAAGACTTAAAAGGTCCAAGCCAGCCTGGACTGCATAATGAGACCTGGTCTCAAAAAAGATGACACAGCTGGGCGCTGGTGGCTCACGCCTGTAATCCTTCTATTTACCCCTGTAATCCTAGCTACTCTGGAGGCTGAGATCTAAGGATCGCAGCTCAAACCCAGCCAGGGCAGGAACATTCCTGAGACTCTTACCTCCAATTAACCACCAGAAAACCAGAAGTGGCACTGTGGCTCAAGTGGTAGAGCACTAGCCTTGAAGGGCTCAGGGACAGTGCCCCAGGCCCTGAGTTCAAACCCCACAACAGACCAAAAAAAAAAAAAAAGAAACAAGAAAAAAAGCAAGCAAAGAAAAGATGACACATGATCCCTAGTTCATGATATTCTTGCTCTTTTTTTTTTTTTTTGGTCGGTCGTGGGGCTTGAACTCTGGGCCTAGGCGCTGTCCCTCAGCTCTTCAGCTCAAAGCGAGTGCTCTACCACTTGAGCTACAGCGCCACTTCCGGTTTTCTGGTGGTTTATTGGAGATAGGAGTCTCACGGTCTCTCCTGCCTGGGCTGGCTTTGAACCACGATCCTCAGATCTCAGTCTCCTGAGTAGTTAGGATTATAGGCGTGAGCCACCAGCGCCTGGACATATTCTTGCTCTTTTATGTTAATAGCTCTCATAATTAACAGAGTTGATCAATGGGACAAACAAAATTCAGCAGAACTCCAGTATCACAAAGAAAAAAAAAGTGATGTCATTTTTTTCATTAGGTCTGAATAGACTCTATCACTTTTGGTTATCTCTCTTTTTCCCCTTTATTCATCCCCTCCTTAACAAGGATACAACAAAAGCAATTTCAAAAAAAAAAAAAAAAGCAATTTCCATTTGAAGCAATTTTTTAAAAAGAGTATTTGTTTTACTGAAATACCATAATCTTCTTCTTTCACTAGCCTCTGTTAGGCAAGAAAAATACACTTAATATCCTTCCAATAAATTACATTTAGCATCCATCAAAAAAGAAAAAAAAATCAAACTCTCTTTCTATTATCACTTCAGATAGGAATATGGACAAAAACACCAAGACTCTAAAATGGTGTGTGATACCTACAAAAAACGAGTGCATAACTACAATCTCAACATTTGGGAGGAAGAGGACATAAGAGAATGACAAGTTCAAGGCCAGCCTGAGCTACATAGTGAGACTGTCTTAAGGAAGAAAAAAACAATACTATTAGGCTTCTATAATGTTTGTCCTATTTCCCCTTTCCATGCTTTTCTCTTGATTATGTTTACTGTGTTTCAAGTCTTAACTATTCAATCCCATCTATACTGGATAAAGCAAAGGAAAATAGATATTAATTGGGAAAACAGTCCAATTAAATAATACCATTAAAAACAATTATAACTCTAGCTAACTACTCAATTTGCTTATAGCTAAAGACAGTATAATTACTTTTTCTGAGAAACTACAGAATATAATAAATGTGCTCACTGTTACATAGCCCAAAGTTATTTTGTTGTTGTTGTAAGCGCTAGTGTTCTCCTACTTGAGCCATGCCCCCACTACCTGCTTTTTGCTAATTAACCTGAGATAAGAGTCTAGGAGATTTTTCTGCCAAAGCTGGCTTTGAACTGAGGTCTACAGATCTCCGCGCCTCCTGAGTAGCTAGTATTACAGGTGTGAGCCACCAACGCCTGGTCCCAAGTATTTTTTAGAACTACCTTTATTTACCGTATTTGACCATAACTTGACAAGGGGCTGGGAAGGTGGCTTAGTGATAGAGGGCTTGCCTAGTATGCCTGAAGCCCTGAGTACCACATACACATAAAAAACTCAAAAGTGGCACTGTGGCTCAAATGAAAGAGCGCTAGCCTTGAGCAAAAGAAGCTCAGGGACAGAGCCCAGGCCCTGAGTTCAAGCCCCGGTACCGGTACACACACGGAAAGCAGGAAAGGAAGGAAGGGAGGGAGGGAGGGAGGGTGAAAGGGAGGGAAGGGAAGATTAGAACCATCCCTGACATATAATATGCACTCAACAAGACATCAGCTATTATATTATCTCCAAAAATAACAACCTATACTCTTTCCTCCCTTAATTGAATCCGTCTGAACAAATGCATATACACACTTTTTTTTTCCAAATTAACTCATAAAAAGATGAACGGCAGCAGGCTACACATAATCATTTCAAGTTTTGATAGCGCTTTCCCTCTTTTCAATACAAGCGTTTGGTATGAAATTAAACACTTCAATTACACACACACACACACACACACACACACACACACACTTACACTTTCAACCAACAACATGCCCGGAAGCCCATAACGCACAGCCTAGAAATAAATATACAGGTGAGGTCGTCACTGGCAGGAAGATGGGGTGACGGGAGGTGGGGAGGAGCCGACTGACACCCTTCACACCGCATGCCCCAGAGAGAACCGGCCCCTCAAAGCAGGCTAGAACCTCTCCGGGAAAGCCGCCACCGGTTCTCTGACGCTCCGGTCCCAGCCCTTCCCTCCCGGGCAGCACACGGGACCTCCCCGACTCCGCGGACCGGGGCCGTGCGGAGGCCGAGCGCGCGCCCCGCGCCCCGCGCCCCGCGCCCCGCGCCCCGCGCCCCGCGCCCCGCGCCCCGCGCCCCGCGCCCCGCGCCCCGCGCCCCGCGCCTCTCCCCCAGCAACCCGCCGCCACTCACAGAGTGTGTCCGCACACGTTCACCATCAGCTTCAAGGAGGGGTTCCGGTATTTGGTGGTCTTACATCGCGGACAGCCCTGGTCGTCCATGGCGTCCCCGCCACGGCCGGCTCCCCACGACGTCTCCCTCCGCGACGGCCCACCTGGAACACACCACCGACCCGACCCCAAGCAGGTTCCGACCAACAGGCGGCTGGTCCGTCGCAAAAGAGCGCCGACTAGAAACTAGGCGCGGCCACACAAGCGTTCCGGAGCGCTTTCTCAGGGCACCGGCCCCCAGGGCGCCCAGGATCTGGCCGTGGGAAGGGAGGGTGCCTTTTCAAAGGATACGTTATGCACTAGTGGCGTTTTTCGACATAGTGCAGCACAATTGGGAAGACAGAGTCTATCATTTTATGTGTGGAAACATTCCTATGATTTCAAAGATCAATGCCCAGGGTGCCTACTCAATGACTTTGACCTAGTATTCTTCCTCTATCTCTCCCTCCCCCTCACTCTCCTTTTTAAACTTTTCGTTGTTAAATAGCTTTTTATCTTTAAGCAGTTATACAAAGGAATTACCATTCAACACGTCAACATGCATTTTTTTTCTTTTTTTTTCTTTTTTTTTTTTTGTTGGTCGTGGGGCCTGAACTCTGGGCCTGGGCACTGTCCCTCAGCTCTTCAGCTCAAGGCGAGTGCTCTACCACTTGAGCCACAGCGCCACTTTCTGTTTTCTGGCGGTTAATTTTAGAGTCTCACTGACTTTCCTGCGTGTGCTAGCTTTGAACCGTGATCTTCAGATCTCAGCCTCCTGAGTAGCTAGGAGTTACTGGCATGAGCCACTGGCTCCCAGGCTCAACAAGCAACTTAATCCATACTACACCTTTCATCATTCTCCCCTGTCCCTCTCAATCCCACCCCTCCACTTAATTTTCCTAGTTTCAGGAATGTGACTGAGTGGTAGAGTCCTTGCCTGGCATGCAGGAAGCCCTGGATTTCATTCCTCAGTACCACATAAACAGAAAAGGCTGTGGCCCAAGTGGAAGCGTGCTAGCCTTAAGCAGAAGAAGCTTAGGCAATGTGCCCCAAGATTGGCCAAAAAAAAAAAAAAAAGAAAGAAATCCTAATTTCATCGGATATGCATTAAATATTATGACTACATTCTCCCCCTCTTTCCCCTCTTCATTCCTTGACCTCCACACATCTTAAGTACCAGTTTCCTGGCATTTATTTTGTTGGAGGTATTAATGTTTTCTTTAGGAAAAATGGATGGTCTATACTTCTCCTGTACATTTAAATAGTCATATGACCTTGGTATTATTTCCTGCATTGCAGATATATAAAGTTCAGAAACGTTATGTGAGTTCTACCCCTTGAACAGATACTATAGATTCTGGCTAACTGTCAGACTGCTTCTATAAATAATTTTGAACATCTGCTCAGTAGAAAGCCCCTTCCCACAGGACTGTCAAGCATACGTAATGGCATCACCTAACAATAATCTCCTACTCTCCCCCATCAAAGACTACCTTTAATTCCAAAAAACTGTGGAAAATATTACATAAGAATATGTGCAACTATATTTTAGCAATTCCTAGGTATCTTTGGAAATTGGAAGCCACATTCCATTGCTTTTATCAAGGCAGCAAACTGAAATCTGTTTAGGTAATGAACTCTCTTTTAAGTAATGAACTCTCTTACTACAAAAGATACATCTTGCTCATTTCCAAAATAAGAATTTATTCATACTGAATGATAAATAGGAGAATAACTATAATAGTATAGCATGAAATTTTATTTTATTTTTTGCTGGTTCTGGGGCTTGAAATCTGGGCATGGGCACTCTTCTTGAGTTTCTTTTGCTCAAGGAGAGTGCTCTACCACTTGAGCCTCAGCACCATTTCTGTTTTTTTCTGATTATTTGGAGATAAAAGTCTCACAGAAGCTGGGCACTGGTGACTCATGCCTGTAATCCTAGCTACTTAGGAGGATGAGATCCGATGCTCGCACTTCAAAGCCAGCCTAGGCAAGAAAGTCTGTGAGACTCATCTCCAATTAACTGCCAGAAAACCAGAAATGGTGTTGTATCTCAACTGGTAGAGCACTAGCCTTGATCTGAAGAGCTGAGAGACAGCACCCAGGCTCAGAGTTCAAGCCCCATGAGTGGGGGGAAAATAACATCACACAGACTTTCTTGGCTATACTCTCTTTGAACCGCAGTCCTCAGATCTCAGCCTCTTGAGTAGCTAGGATTACAGGCATGAGTCACTGGTGCCTGGCTAATGTGAATTTTTAATGTAAAGCATTTCTTGTAATCACCTTCACTATACATTTATAGTAATTTAAACTCTTTGGAACTTTTGCTCTCTTCAGTATAAACATAAAAAGTAACATCCCAACCAGGCACTGGTATCTCATGTCTGTAATACTAGCTACTGAGGGCCTGAGATCTAAAGATTATGGTTCAAAGCCAGCCCACACAGGAAAATCCATGAGACACTTAAACTAATTAACCACCAAAAGCTAGAAGTGGAGCTATAGCTCAAGAGGTAGAGTGCTTGTCTTAAGCATAAAAAGTTCAGGAACAGCAGTCAGGTCTTGAGTTCAAGGCCCCAGAATTAACACATATACACATGAGAAGTACATCCCTACTTTTGGGTTGTTTGGTTTTGTTTTGTTTTGCTGGCAATGAGTGGCAATTGGGGCCTCACACTTGCTTCGTTTGCATGTTCAGCTGATGTTCTACCATTTGAACCTTCTAGCCTGGCTTTTTGTTAGCTAATTGAAGATGGAGTCTCAAGGACTTCTCTGCCCAGGTTGGTTTCAAAATCAGAGTCCTCCAGATCTCAGCCTCCTGAGTAGGTAGGATTACAGACATAAGCCACCAACATCAGGCTTTTTTCCTTTCCTTTCTTTTTTTTTAATCTTTTAGTCTTACTTTTTGGCTATACTGATGTTTGAACACAGGCCTTAACTCAGCTTGCTTGTTTACCTGGTGCTGTACCACTTGAGCCACATTTCCAGTCGATCTGAATTTTTGGTATAAATATATACATATATATTATATATCTTTTATTGTAAAGATACTGTACAGAGGGGTTACAGTTACATGAGTAAGATAATAAGTACATTTCCTATCGAGCATTGTTACCTCCTCCTTTTTGTTCCCCTACCATCCCTTCCCTCCCCACCTCCCCCCAAAAAAAGTTCCTTTTCAATATTGTGTCTTGGGCTGGGAAAGTGGCTCAGTGGTAGAGTGCTTGCCTTGCATGCTTGAGGCCCTGGGTTCTATTCCTCAGCACCCATAAGCAAAAAAAAAGCCGAAGTGGTGCTGTGGCTCAAGTGGTAGAGCACTAGCCTTGAGCTGAAGAGCTTAGGGGCAGCGCCCAGGCTCAGAGTTCAGGCTCACGACCGGACCCAAAAAAAAACAAAAAAACAAAAATCAATATTGTGTCTTGTACACTTCATTGTTACAATGGGTCAAGCTGAATCCCTATTTAAGCATCTTGTTTTTTCCCTTCCCCTCCCCAAATTGAAAAATATGTATATACAAGATGCAGGGCACTGAAATCAAATACAGTGAAAACAGGTGTTCTATCATGGGGGAAGAACATACAAAAGAAACCAAAAAAATCACATAGTACATTATAAATACATTAAAAACAATAGCAAGAAAGATAAAACCTCTCGTGTCCCTATCTTGGGGTTCATTTTGCTTAGATCATCTTATATGGTCATATGTACATAGCTTTTGACCTTTTCTGTTTGTCCCAGACAAGCTATGGTAAATAATGCTGTGGTAAACATAGTTGTGCTGGTAGCTTTAGTATGGCCTTGTTTGTGTTGATCCAAATTTTTTAAACAGTAAGCTCAATGGGTAGTCCATTGTCTGAGGAGACAGCTGAGATTTTGGTTAGTCATGGAAGATGGACCAAACAAACAGCTACATATAGCACTCAGGAACCAGCAAACCAAAGCAGATCATGACAGCTCAGAACTTTGTATTCGTATATAAACATCAGTGACTTATCTCATAAATAAACCTTATTATCTCCCTTATCATCATATTGTTCACTTATAGGAGTTAACCAAATGTAAGCTTACTGAAATAAAAAATACATATGACCCGGAGGCTGCTTATAATGCTTACTTTATTTTAAAAGACTATATCCAAAACAGTTAATAATTCTGAGGGAAGCTCTCCAAAAATAAAAGCAACTTTAGAATCTTTATATTTGAATAGAGCAAGAAACTTTGGGAGAAGGAATGAATTTATCCATAAAGAAAAAAAAATTTTAGTCAATACTACACTAAAAAGTCATCATTTGGCCAGCACTACTGTTTATCAGCACTCAGCACTTGGACAGTTTCAGTCATGCCAGGAAAGGAAAGGAAAGGAAAGGAAGAAAGAAAGAGGGAAGGGAAGGAAAGAAGGGAAGGGAAGGGAAGGGAAAAGATGGGAAGGGAACGGAAAGGAAAGGGAAAGAGAAAGGGAAGAAAAAAGGGAAAAAAAGGAAAATAAATAAATAAATTTGGGGCTGGGAAGGTGGCTCAGTGGTAGAGCGCTTGTCTTGCATGCGTGAGGCCCTGGTTTCGATTCCTCAACACCACATAAGCAAAAAGAAAAAAGCCGGAAGTGGCACTGTGGCTCAAGTGGTAGAGCGCTAGCCTTGAGCTGAGGAGCTGAGGGACAGTGCCTAGGCCCAGAGTTCAGGCCCTACAACCCGACCCCCCCCCCAAAAAAAAAGAGGGCTGGGAAGGTGGCTCAGTGGTAGAGCGCTTGCCTTGCATGCATGAGACCCTGGGTTCGATTCCTCAGCACCACATAAACAAAAAGAAAAAAGCCGGAAGTGGCACTGTGGCTCAAGTGGTAGAGCACTAGTCTTGAGCTGAAGGGCTGAAGGACAGCACCCAGGCCCAGAGTTCATGCCCCATGACCGGACCCCCCCCCAAAAAAAAAAAAACTTCTAAAAAAAAGAAATAAATTTAATTTCTACCTCTAAAAGAACTAGATGAGATATACTGGCACCATGAATCACTACTTACATGATGACCTCGAGCTTGTGTTCCCAGTGTTAAATTGAATATACTTAGTACAAATACTTAATATTTCATTTAAAGTGGTTAATACAGTACCTAACAGCAGTATTAAATGTTAACCATCGTGCTGGCAAAATTGGTTAATTACCTGTAGAAAACTAAAGCTAGGGGCTGGGA